GATGAATAGATAGATAATGAACAGATTGAGATAGATAGATAGATAGATAGATAGATGGATGGAATGAACAGACCGAGATAGATGATAGATGGAAAAAGATAGATAGAATGAACAGACCCAGGTAGATAATAGATGGATAGATAGATAGATAGATGGATAGATAGATGGATGGATAAGGAACAGACTGAGATAGATAGATAGGTAGATAGATAGATAATGAACAGATTGAGATAGATAGATTGATAGATAGATAGAATGAAAGATAGATAGAATGAACAGACCGAGATAGATAGATAGATAGATAGATAGATAGATAGATAGATAGATAGATAGATGTGTATTTATCTCTTAGGTTCAATGAAAAACGGTTACAGTTTGCCGGACACCCTCACCAAGCGGACAGGGAAATCGTCTCATTCTTACTCCTATGACATCGTTCTAGAGGTGTCTTCTTACGAAAATTCACTTTCCCAGACACCATAGTTTGGGATTCAGGGTTGGACATTGGGTGTCTGGGGACAGCAATACAGGAGCGAACAGTGTGGAAAGCGATTGTCAATGGAGTTCCGACCAACCATAGCGAGGTTGAAGAATGATGATGATAATAATAATAATAATGTTGATGTCTCTGCTTTTTTGCGCGCTTGTGTTTTTATGCAATTTTGGATGGTTATAAGCACGTTTACATTTCAGATTGCAAATCAATGTTTTACGGTAAAATTTGAATGATGTAGGCAAAGGATCTCTCTCTCTCTCTCTCTCTCTATATATATATATATATATATATATATATATATATATATATGAAGAAGTATCGCTTTAATGTGTGCTATATTTATGGGATAAAGTGCTCAATGTCAGAGATAGAGCGTATGTAAATATAAAAGTGAACAGTGTGTTAGACATTTTCATGACGGTCGTCTTCGAGTATAGAATCCAGAGGTTGGCAGTGAATATTTCGGAGACAGTAGGAAAGCGTAGTGCAGGTTCGCAGTGGATATCGCAGCAAAGTAGCAGAGCGTAGTTCTTCCGTCTGTCATGTTCGCCTGACAATTTGGCACTGGTCATTCCGGTGAGAAAACAAAGATGGCCGCCTTTATACACGACGAATACAGTGTTGTGCGGCTTCTGATTGGTCAACCTTCTATTGGTCGACTATAAAGGGAAATAAGTCATTTTGACTCACTCACTAGTTACATACGGTATATACCCAAAAAACCATAACACATTGAAGTCAACATTCAGAGCCTCTGAGTATTGACTTCAATGTTTACTTATATATATATATATATATATATATATATATATATATATATATATATATATATATATATATGCAGTTCGAGGCAAAATAGAAAGTCGATTTTTATATTTTTTGCCAAGACAAGTGAATAATAGAATTCGTTTATTAATTCAGGGTATTAATACAGGTGCACATATGTAAGTCAAAAAATGATTCAGTATTTTGTTGGGTAACCTTTTGCTTTAATAACGGCCTTAATTCTTCGTGGCATGCTATAGACTAAATTCTTTAGTAAGTCAACGTTCTTTGCCAGATTTTTCCAGCATTCCTTTAATTTGTAATAAAAGCTCATCTTCTGTGTTAATTTTCCTATTACGAACACGCTTTTCCATTATCTCGCAAAGATTTTCAATTGGGTTAAGGTAAGACTCTGACTAGGTCACAAGAAGGGTTGCAATTTACACCCGTCGCGCTTCCTCACTAGATAACTTTTATTATTTAAGGCAGTATGCTTTAGGATCCTTATCGTTATTTAATCATTTTTGACTTGTATAATGTACATATGTACACATGTATTAATACCCTGTATTAATAAACGAACTCTATTTACTCACTTGTCTTGGTAAAAATACAAAAATCGACTTTCTATGGGCGCGTCCATTTTTTGCCTCGTTCTTTTTATATACCAAATTGGTGTCAGTTATTATATCTGTTCTTTTTTATTACAATATTTACTGAAACATTTTTGTTGGCACGATGCAAGTCCAGATTTTTTATTGCAAATAATTGTATATCCCACATATCTGTACTATAACAGTTACAGCTGTTTGATTTTTAATTTCAGATCTATAAATATGGCCGCGGTTCATACAAAATATATCACCTCGCAAACGAAGCAAATTGGTGTAAAGTTATTGAGTGGTCAGAACAGAACTTTGAAAATTGTGAACGCGATGAAAAGAAATCAGCGGACAATAAAAATATAAATGACAAAAATATTGAAAAGACGAGAACAAAATAAAAAAAAAACTGGCACAGTGGATAAAGGCGTTAGTTAGATCCAGTGGCAGAACCCAAAGAGTGTGAGTTCAATACCTGGTTAAGGCAGTGGAGAACTTTCAGAGGGGAATTAACCGGAGATAACTGACATCCATTAGGCATGGAACGTGGAACTAGAACAGTCTACCCTAGCGAGCGAAATAAAGGATTCATTACGACATTCCAACCACCTGAAGATCTGAGCTTGAATATTGTTTTTTTTTTATGCTAGAAGTAATATTTATTTCAAATCAAATTAATTTATTGTCCTAATCTTTATTGCGATATTTATTACAGCGTGGGATCAGGTTGAAATCTCATACAAAGAACACCATTGGAAAATTCGTAAACTTAAGCTAGGCCACAAAAATCTCCTGAGCCGACCAAGCATAGAAATGAATATAATATGCGAACCAGTAATAAGGAGTGCTAGAGAATAGCGATAATAACAACAAAAATTGCAATATGAGCACTGGTAAAAAATACTTACTGAAGACATTAGGTTTTTAATACCCAAAAATTCATACGCAGATGTCCACAAGGACACATGGTACAGTGGATAAAGGCGTTGGTTAGATCCATTGACAGGACCCATACAGTGTGAGTTCAATACCCGGTTAAGGCAGAGGGGAATTAACAGGAGATATCAACTGACATCACTCTACCACAGTGAGCGAAGAAGGCATACAACAGCCGAAATGTCGACAAAGACCGAATAATGTAAATAATACCTCATCTCAGAAATATAGACAGATACTGAAAGGCCGAAACGTTGTAATAAATATGGCGACAAAGATGAGGACAATAATCCGAATAATGTACAAGAAAAACTGGCTTTTCAAAAATGAAGCATTAGGAAAGTTAAAAGGGTAACAGGCAAGAACAGCGGACTAAACAGTAAGTGAGATCTTTGAAGACTCTGCGGTTGAGAATGGAAACAAAGTGAAAAACTGAAGAATATGACGAATGAACTAAGCCATTTGAATAAACATCGCACAGAGAAACAATTTGAACAAATAAATTTCCTGATTTATCAAATTTAAATTTTAGTGATAGATTTAGATCGATATTGGATGGACGTCCAACCAATGTAGCTCTAAATTCATCATTATATATCCCAAAAATGATAACTTATTTAATCGTTCGGGATTTGATTAACCAAAACGTCTGTTTGTCGTCATACTGGATTTTAATTCATCCTTTCACCCCAAGCAAGGCAACAGGGCCATTAACATGCAGTGGGTTACTGAGTGTGAAAGACTATCAAAAAAACAAAAAACAAAAAAAGAACAGGGCTTAAAAAATGAAGAGAGTTCCACAAGTGAGAAGTGCGAGAAAATAAAATGTTAGCATATAACTCACAGTTACCTCTAGTCATTTCGACTGTAAAATGATGAGACCTTTTCGGCAGTCTAGTACGCTTAAATTCCTAAAGTCTAAGTACCAACGAGGAAAGCTCATCAGAACAATTATCATGAAAGACTTTTAGAAAAGGCAGAGAGACGCTATTGCGGTCGAAAAGTGACTGAATCCGAGATGCCAGGTTAAATCCAATAACATTGCAGATTCTTCTGTGGTTTTTATATATAATCTCTTCCTATATAACAAGAGTACCAGACCATATGTGGTAGCAATATTCGAAATATGGACGAATCGTAGACTTGTAAGATAGATTCTGACAAGACAAGTTGTCTAGAACGAGTTATTGACATTTATTTTCCTGTTTTAGACATTTAAAGATTTTTATGGCATTGTCAAAAAAGTGTAGATACTAAAGTGAAAGAAGGCATTATAAATTTGCTGAGTGATGGAAACACAACGTTTAAAATTGCGCAAAGATTTGCACGACGAATAATAATAATAATAAAAAAACAAATTGGAAACTTTGGCAATGTAATAACAGGAAAAAATTATTTTTCGTATGTGAGAAAAAGAAATTTAAGATAAAACTGAATGATAATAAACAAAAAATAAAAAATAAATTTGAGAAGCATAAAAATGAAAATGCCGCTGTTAAAAAGAAAATATTCACTCTATTAGGAACAATGACTAAAGCGGAGGTTCCCAACCACTGGGCCGCGACTCTTTCCTCTTAAATATGCCGTGGAATAATGAAGAAATCGCGAGAAAACACCAGGCCTCATCTTTGTCGTCATATTTATTACAACGTTTCGGCCGTTGTACGCTCTCGCCTTCTTCAGGTGGTTGGAATGTCGAACTGAACCCTTTATTGTATGAATTTATTGGTATTATAAACCTAATGTCTCAGCGACTATTTTTTACTAGTGCTCCTCTTAGTTTTCTTATACCCAGAAATTCATACACAAGGACACATAGCACAGTGGATAAACACGTTAGTTAGTGACAGGACCCAAAGAGTGTGAGTTCAATATCCGTTTAAGGCAGTGGAGAACTTTCAGAGGGAAATTAACAGGAGATAACTGATAAATGATATCCATTAAACATGGCACGTGGAACTAGAACAGTCTACACTTCTACAGTGAGCGAAATAAATTGTTCAGTTCGACATTCCAACCACCTGAAGAAGGCCGAAACGTTGTAATAAATATGGCGAAAAAGATGAGGACAATAGTCCGAATAATGTAAATAGTGTACATAATACCTTATCTCAGAAATATAGACGGATACTGAAAGGCCGAAACGTTGTAATAAATATGGCAACAATGATGAGGAGAATAGTCCGAATAAATTAATATTTGTGTGCGTATATTTTTTAAGTCTATAATTTGATTTCATAAAATTTAAATACCCAGAAATTCATACACAAGGACACATGGCACAGTGGATAAACACGTTAGTTAGTGACAGGACCCAAAGAGTGTGAGTTCAATATCCGTTTAAGGCAGTGGAGAACTTTCAGAGGGAAATTAACAGGAGATAACTGATAAATGATATCCATTAAACATGGCACGTGGAACTAGAACAGTCTACACTTCTACAGTGAGCGAAATAAATTGTTCAGTTCGACATTCCAACCACCTGAAGAAGGCCGAAACGTTGTAATAAATATGGCGAAAAAGATGAGGACAATAGTCCGAATAATGTAAATAGTGTACATAATACCTTATCTCAGAAATATAGACGGATACTGAAAGGCCGAAACGTTGTAATAAATATGGCAACAATGATGAGGAGAATAGTCCGAATAAATTAATATTTGTGTGCGTATATTTTTTAAGTCTATAATTTGATTTCATAAAATTTAAATGTATACCCTTTAAAATTATTGTTAGGTGTGTTGTGATATTTTCATTTGCTCCGAGGTGTGCATTTGCTTAAAAAGGTTGAGAAACTCAGCTTGAGTGCTTCGCCAGGCTATCTTGCTCAGGACACACCACTGCGTCTGCAGTACAATCCTCTACGATCCTCAGGGGTTAAGAGTTAAAAAAAAAACGATGTGAAAAAGCTTCATAAGTTAGAATTTGGATAAACGAATAAGTATTTAACATTTTATCCTACATTAACTAAAACCGTCCTGGGTATGACGATAAACTACATCCACGTCCTGGGTAAGACGATAAACTACATCCACGTCCTGGGTATGACGATAAACTACATCCACGTCCTGGGTAAGACGATAAACTACATCCACGTCCTGGGTATGATGATAAACTACATCCACGTCCTGGGTATTACGATAAACTACATTCGCGTCCTGGGTAAGACGATAAACTACATTCGCGTCCTGGGTAAGACGATAAACTACATTTGCGTCCTGGGTATGACGATAAACTACATCCACGTCCTGGGTATGACGATAAACTACATCCACGTCCTGGGTAAGACGATAAACTACCTCCAACAGCAAGGCCTCTGATCAGGAGGTTTTGAGGAGTGTGGAATGACCTCTTAATTGCTGGTGTTCCCAGGTCCACCCTGACCCGGGGTGGTAGCACCTGTTAGGGTCCCAGTTATGGGCAAATAGTTAACACCCAAACTTGTGTAAAAATAGGTTTTAATACCAGAAATGCTTTGTAATAAAAAAATATTACAAGCAATAATTTTTGAAGGAAAAATTATTAGCAGCAATACTTTAAAAAAATACCAGCAATACAAACAGCTATACATTCTTTGGAAAAAAAAAATATGACCAGCTATAGATTTCTTCAAGGAAAAATATTCCCAGAAATAGATTTTTGAAGAAAAACATTAAAAGCAATATAAATTTTGTTGACATTAAATAACCCATTGAGGTTGATATACCGTAAAACAAACAAAACCAAACCAAATACATTAGCTAAAAAGCTTTATCAGTTTTATTGCAATCTTCTAATTCTTATTGATGTGAATGAGGCTTCTCAACCCTAAATAACACCAAAAATAAGAAGCGAGAAAGACTACGCTCAAATCAAGAAGGAATGAGGGCCTGCTTATCAGACATTCGACTAAACATTGAAGAAATCGTGAAAAAAAAAAAAAAAAAAAAAAAACATGCTAGGCACAGAATAATTGAATAGAAACATTGAAATAAAGTAAGTTTATATTTGTGTGTATAATTTTTAATTTTTACGGTTTTATTTCATAAAATTTAAATGTTAACTTTAAAGATTTTTTAAAATGTGCCGTGATATTTTCATTTGCTTCTAGGTGTGTCGTTGCTTAGAAAAGTTGCCAAATACTGGATTCGATGTTTCTAGAGGAGTTTGTCTCCATGCATGACATTCATATGAATGTCTTGATCTGGCAAAGCCATTTAAGAACAGGGAATTAGTGCAATGTGCCGGGCGATCCTCTTAAGTGTGCCGCGAAATATTATCACGGCCTCCATATATATATATGGGTGTGTGTAAATAGCAATAATACAGCGATTAAATGGATAACTATTAAACTTTTTTGTATCTGACATTAGCTAAAAAGGCCTTATCAGCTTTATTGCAATTTTTAAATTTTTATGTGAATTAGGCTTCTCAATCCTAAATAACATCAAAAATAAGAAGCGAGAAAGACTACACTCAACTGAAGAAGGAATGAGGACCTGTTTATCGCACATTCGACCAAACATTGAAGAAACACCAAAGTTTTCACACTAAATAAGCTGCTCAAATAGTTGGATAGAAACATTGAAATAAACTAAGTTTATATTTGTGTGTATATATATATTTTTAAAATCTATGATTTTATAACATTTAAATGTATACCCTTCAAAGATTTTGCTCATTGTGCTGTGTTATTTTCATTTGCTCTTCAGTGTGCCGTTGCTTAGAAAAGTTTGAGGAACACTGGTCTAAAGACAAGTATATTGTCATCGTAGTAGAAACAAATTATAATACAAGCATAAAAAACTGCAGTCATCTAAGAAAACCATTTTTGCTTACCATCAATATGGCTGATGCTAACCTCCAGGAGGTTAGCATCAGCTATGGACGTGATAAAAAATCCGATGCAATCACGGATGACGCAATATTTTTCAAGGCCAAACAAATTTTATCATACAACCCGAAAATAGATTCATATCACTGCACACAACTTCAAATGACATAATCTCAGGTAAAATAGACATCGATTACACCCTGTCACTTTAATGGGCCTAAATTGACCGTATGGTGAAAGAAAGAAAATTAAAGTAATTGTTTCAATTAATGTGCACAAGGGCATATATGAAGAATATATAGTATATATTAGAAAAAAAAGGGCTCAGTAAAATTTCTAAGAAAAATCAGTCTAAAGGCATTTGTCTAAGGAATACACGCCTAAGGACATTGATCTATGAAATACAGGCCTAAGAGCCATTGTTCTATAATAATGTTTTTTTTAATAAGTTAACACTGATTATAGTAATTAATACTTCGGCAATGAGGTGATGAGTTTCGTGAGTAGTAAAATTGGGTGCATTGAAGACATCACACCAGGTTATAGCAATTAAGGTGATGCCTTCACACCTGTTCATAGCAATAAATGTGATGTCTTCACCCTTGTTCATAACAATTAAGGTGATGGCTTCACACTGCTTATAGCAATTAAGGTGATGGCTTCACACTTGGTTATAGCAATTAAGGTGATAGCTTCACACCTGTTTATAGCAATAAATGTGATGGCTTCACTAACAATTAGGGTGATGGCTTCACACCTGCTTATATCAGTTAAGGTGATGGCTTCACCCCTGTTCATAGCAATTAAGGTGATTAGTATTTCAAATAAGGATTAAATAAGTTGTTATAAGTTTTGAACTCAAAAAATACAGTGTGTGATGGGTATATTAACGCCATTTTATATTTTTCATTTTTCGCGAGAAAAAGAGTACAATGTCGACTTTCACTCGGCCAGAAATTTGATAGCGGTATGCTTGGCATTTACGGCAGAAGCTTCAGTACGAACGTTTCAGAGGGTTTTGTTGTTTTTTGCCCTCAGTAATAAGAGAAGGAACGCCAAGACAACAATAAAACGATTTTAAGAAAGACGAGGGACGAGTAGACAGTGTAATTGTTTAGGGAATAAAGCTTTTTTGATTGAAGATTGATTATTATGATCACCATCATCATCTAGATAAGTGGTTCTCAACCAATTTTGGGCCATGGCCCAATTTGTTATTTCTTAAATTTTGGTGCCCCTTGTAATATCCAATTCTTACATATTTAAAATTTTACTGCAATTCACATGAAGGAAGCTTAAAAGGCCATTAACTTGGTCTCTAAACAAGCCTCCAAAGAAAATGGCGTCCATGAAAGAGAAAAATTTTTAAAAATCCAAAAGGTAGTTAAATATATATATAGTTTCAAAACATATGAGAGAGAACTGAAAGGCAGAAATATAAAATATTTGAATGAAAGCTTATTTTTTAATATAATTTTAATCATTTTAATCATGAAATAATAATGCAAAATGCAATTTGAACTCATCACAAAATGTCTGTTAGTGAGATCCTTATGCATCGTGCCTGTTACAGATAGATTTTATATTAGGCAACGATTTAGTCAGCTTAAGTCTCAAGTTTCCTCGTTTAGTGATATCCAGTCAATGTCTTTTCTTCTATAAGAAATCATTTACAGCACTAAAGCCACATTCAGCTAAATAGGAAGATGGAAATGGTAAAAACAAAAGGTGATTGAATTTTGATGTTTTTCCTATTGTATAAGTATCGTATGTATTAACACACATTAACATTAAGATTCGCACTTCGACTCACTAGAAAACGATTCACTGGTAATAACTCATTCTCGAACTGCCCCGTATAGTAAGCCGAAGCGTGCACATTCTACGCATGCCCCACCTAAATATCACCATGACCCACCGGTGGGGCATGCACCCCACGATGATCATTGATCTAGATATTTGCCCCCGTGATAACTCCGACTCATTTACTGAAATCATATCAAATGACCAATCATCAGAATTTGTTTTTTGGAGTTTTTTTTTGTAAGTTGTTTTTGGTGAGGTCGAGAACTTTTCGTTAGCACTGTTATATCTCTTGCTGTTAGTATCCGAATCGTCCGGAATGACTCTCTCACCAAAGTGTCTGCAACGTAGACGATCAATGGCTGAAAATAACGCTCTCCTCCGTCACTACCGCCGCCATCCAACAGTCAGCTTGCTTAAGCGCGGCTTGACACCAGACCATTAACGCTTGATATTATTTCTTTTTTTCATTTTCCATGTTGTTGTAGTTGTTGTATTTTACGTGTTATCCGGAATGATTCCCGGAGCCTGATCCGTTGCTTTTTTGTTGGGGGGTCACGTGGTACCGTATCCGAGAAACCTCAATTTTCATCGTTTACATTTCCTGACAGCAACTATTCAGACAAGCCCGTTGCCATTTTCAGCGAATCTAACCTTTGACGGGCGACTCAGCAAGAAAAATAACGTATGAACACGTGTAAGACAAACGTTCAAAAATGGCGAGAATACAATCGAAGATATCGAATCAGACCGATTGGTTGGAAATGTCGCTAACGGACAAGTGACAGCAAGTCGTCTCACAACTCGAAGGCTGTTCTCAGTAATCTTTCTAACTTCCTCCTCTTCTCGTTAGAGGAAGAGGGGGAATATTTCGATTATTTAGTCGTAGGATAATTATACTTCGCTAAGCAAATCCGCGTCTTACGAACATTTCTCATAATGATAATTGAATAATAATTCAGCAGACGATGTTATTTAATTTATGGTAACTGAATTTTTGACGATTTTCTTCCGTCGGTTGATACTGTGTCTCAGATAAATAGCGCTTGCATTATTTACATTATTCTAACTGTTATCGTCATCTTCATTGCTATATTCACAACGTTTCAGCCGTTGTACGATCTGGCCTTCTTCAGGTGATTTGAATTTTTCTTCAATATCTGTCTATATCTCTGAGATGAAGTATTATGATTACTTGCATTATTTACATTATTCGGACTGTTATCCTCATCTTCATTGCCATATTCACAATGTTTCGGCCGTTGTACACTCCGGCCTTTATGTCTATGTCTCTCTATATATCTGTCTATATCTCTGAGATGAGGTATTATGATTACTTGCATTATTTACATGATTCGGACGGTTATCCTCATCTTCTTTGCCATATTCACAACGTTTCGGCCGTTGTACGCTCCAGTATTCTTCAGGTGACTGAAATTTCGAATCGAACCCTTTATTTCGTCCACAGGGGTAGATTGTTCTAGTTCCACGTGCCATGCCTCTTCCCAATGTCTCAGTTATTTCCCTTTAACTCAACTTTTCATGTTTTTGGTTCACTACTGCAGTGGCCTGGTACTAAACTCACAAATTTGAGGTTTAGTCACTGGCTTTATCCACTGCGCCATGTGTCCTTCTCGGCCTAAGATCAAAGTGTAGAATCTGTTCTTATCAGCTTAATCTGATTCTCTCTCTCTCTCTCTCTCTCTCTCTCCATTTCTGTCTTTCCTTCTTTCTTTTGATCTTCTCGCTGAAACCAAGTAGCGTCTTTTCCTCTCTTTGCACGCGATCAAAACGGAATAGTCCATTATTTACGAGTTACTAGCAGGGCGTGACGGCCGTGCAAACTAACGAAAGGAGGCAAAAGCACACATAATTGGATTCTCCTTAGTATAATCAGACCCTCCTATATAGTATAGAGCCACTTGCCCTTCTTTTTAGTATAGCGCCACAAACGCCTCTTTTTATTATACAGTCACATGCTCCTTTATTTAGTATTGATCCACTTATTTCCATCCTTAGTACAGGCTCAGAGGCACCACTATATAGTGTAGAGCTACATTCCTCCACCCAGTTTAGAACAGGGCCACAAGGATCCCCGTTTAGTATAGAGGTACAAACGCCTACTGTGTGACCACAGCCTCACTAACTGCTTCGGTTGCTGTAACAATTTTTTACGGGATAAATTTGCCCTTTTCACGTACAACTGGTTTTGTATTCCATGTTTCCCTCCTTCTATACCGAGTAAAGGTAGATAAGCCAGTCTGTCCTGCTATTTAACCCATAGCTGCTGGGAGAAGAGATAGAAAGTGAATGCAACCAAACCGGCCGGAATTTTAATTCGATAATTACATATCCATAGGCGGATTATTACTGAAAGGAGAATTTGAGATCAAGTTCTATTAAAGGCCAAGTGACAGCACGTCTCCTTAGAGCTCCAGCACCCTTCTCAGTATTATTATTATTATTATTATTATTATTATTACTATTTACATTCATGTTACCAAAGTTATTGTTATCGAGGTCAAAATTTTGTAAGTTTTTTAAAGCCAAGTGACAAGTCTCTTTAGAGTTTCACCATTTTCTTCAGTCTCTTCACCATCCATCCATCTACGCGAGTTATATAGCTTCTTTGTTTTTCATTGGATGCTCACGGAATCTATCCTTGTGCCATACTTGAATTTGTTCAACACCGATCTATTCTTAATAAAACCGTACGTGGACGCCTTTTAACGGTTTTCATTTTCTCCCGTGTTTGTCGCCTTCCCTACATTCCATCTGATCTTTGTAAAAATCTGTCAGTAAATTTCTGATCTTCAATTCTGCCAGTGATTGATGACGCCAAAATTTTCGCCATATTTTGAGTCAGACCTCCTGATAAAATCGTAGCACGCTAAGCAACATTCAAAAGTCAAACAATCTTCGCTGTCGAAATTTTAAGTGTTTACAGACATTATATGCATTTTGATGAAAGTTCCTTCCAATTTTCAAAACTGTCTTTATTGTCAAAATATCCGGATAGCTTTAACTGTGTGACCCAACCCTTGTTCACTTCCCGCCAGCGTCTACTGCGCATGAGCCGCGCCATTTTTAATAGCGCTTACTTCATATTTGCATACATTTGGAAGGATAAGAAATTTCAATTTCTCCACAGAGAAAGATGACATTATTTCGTTTATTGCTATTGTTCTGTGTATCTAGTTCACCAGTAAGAGAATCGGTAAACTTTAGGCGATAGTTGGCTCGGGGGTGGGGGCTTTCCTGTGCTAAGCAAACGTTCTTTTATGAACCATATCTTTTCAGGATATGGGCCATCATGACTCAGCACAACTTGCATTATTTTGTTTCTCTGTGTAGCTATTGACGATTCACTTTTCCTTTTCCTCCTTGGTCTGCAATAAATTTGAAAAATTATAAATTAGAGATCCTTAAGCAGACTACTCCTTGTTCAACCTTCTCTTGTCTTCATTGTGTCTAGTAATTGTTAAATTCTCCAAGCACTTTTACCTTATTAAGTGCCGAAGAAATTCCAGATGCATCGTTCTGATTGTAAGTATACATTTCCTTATTGAATCAATATCTGCATCTACTGCAAGGAAAGTTGGTTCTTCGTGTCACGCCAGAGTGTTTTTCTCATCTGAGCATCCTTCAAATCTGCAAATCAACCATTCGTCCTTGCATTGAATACTATTGCCATATATGGTCTTGCGCCCCCTCTGTTCATCTCGAGGTTCTCGGCAAAATCCAGAGACGGATATGCAATATGATAGGTCCTAATCTGGCATCTCGTCTACAGTCACTTCCCTCTGTCTTTTCTAGAAATATTTTCATGGCAACTGCACTGACGAGCTACTGGTTCTCCAACTGCCTGAATTTAAGCGTGCTACTAGGTTGGCATCTCAGTCCCACCCTTTCACTGTCGAAACAGTTAAAGGTAACCGCCGCTTCTACTCCAACAGCTTCTTCTCTCTCACTTCCCGACAGTGGAACTCCCTTCCTCCTACTCGCTTCCTTGGTAGCTATAATCTTCAAATATTCAAATGTAATGTAAATTTACATCTTCTGATGCCTTGATCCTGATCCCCGTCTTTCTGTACGTCCTTTCCTCAAACACACTTCTTTACTCTTTACTCACTCTCTGTAATTCCTTGCATGCTATATATATATATATATATATATATATATATATATATATATATATATATATATATAAAGGTAACAAATCTGTTGGTATATAATCCAAGTGAATACTAGTAATATAAAATATCAAAACTGATTCACAAAAGGAGTTCAATATATTTATTATTACAGAGTAAATATGTACTCCTAATAGTCTTAGAGATAGGTGTAACTTGTGTTTAGAAGAAAAAATTGGAATTATAAAATACAATAATCAAAACCAACTATTAAATTAGTTCAAATATTTACAACTAGGACATGACATGCCAATTCCACTAAGTCTTATTTCCTCCTTAGACAAATGTAAGGATAAATTTCTACTCGAGTGTCTTTTTCCTATGAACAGACACCCACATTGGTAATTCCTGGAACACTACAATTTTAATCTCATCAATTGGTGGGGAAATCGTCATACATCCTCATAATCTTCAATTCTTATCACGTAAATGGATAATTTAGTAATCCTCTAAATTGAGTGGCACTCAAGTCTTATATTATGTGAGCTTTTGTAGAAAAAAAACACGATATGGATTGAATTTGTCGATGTGCATAATTAAAATCAGTTGATTTGCAAAGTCTGGGACTTGTTTGTCGGGGAGAAAAATTGTCGTGTATTTCTTGAGGCCAAACGTTTTTGGAATCTTAACATTCTGTTAAATGCCGTCTTTTTCTTCACCTCCTGAAAGAGCTTTTGATTTGATCTTTCTTTCCTTACAAAACCTGACAAACCCTTCTGGCTGAAGCGGCCATTTCACACATATTGCTTAATTTATACAACAACGTTGCAATCATGTTACTAACGTTTTTCATTTTTTTTTTATTTCTTTATTTTATAATTTGTTCTTTTCTGGTGAAACCAAGCAGTTGCAAGAGACAGATGTCCTGGTTTTGTGTGTCTACCAGAAGACCAGTAATGTCGACACAATAGCCAGTAGACATCGCAATTTTCGATTCTATTTTCTTTCCTTTCTTTAATTCTTTCTTTCTTTGTTTTTTTCTTTTCTTTTTGTTTCCTTTTGCATTTTACATAGAATCATCCACTAATTCTGACACATACACACAAAAATGTGCCTCTCAACAGGAATTGAAATGGAAGTTACATTTTCTTTAATATGACTTTCGATTTCTAAGCCGGTAGATATTAATTACAGAGTTTAAAATGTGACTTCCACTACACAGACCAATGTTCTTTTACAGGACCCGCAGATCCAGCATAAGAATTAAAACGCTAAAAATACATAAGTACACATATGTACACGCATACACACACTTTTCACTCATAGACACACAGGCAGATTCCCGCCCATCGATCACCATCTTTTACTTCATCGAGCTGATTATCAAATTTTAGCAGAGAAGAATTAAAAATATAAAAAAAATTGCCGTGTTGGTGTCGGCATACAAAATAGTTGATCACGTGATCTCCAAGTAGCAGATAATCCATCGACTTTGTGAAAGGTTGGCTTTTCACGCCATGACAGAAAAAAAAATGTCTCCGTTTATTCAGAAAGCAATGTCAGATTGTTTTGGTGTAGATGATATTAAATCTTTTCAAATGTAACAAAATTTAAATATCTCAAGAACAATCTCAAGAATATTATCATTTTTATTAACAATGACAATGACTTCTTTTATTCTATTTTGGTTTTCAAACAATCTGGGATTCCGGACAAAAGTTTTTTTTGGAATATTCCAGTCCGAATTTTAAAACTGGAAACATGGAAAGTAATCAGTGGAATGCAATAAGTTTCGTCTCAGAACATAAATAATCAAAACAAATCCTTATTTTAAAGAATGAAGAAGAATTGAACTTTATGCAATAATATCGCCATTTTTTTTCAACAGGGGTATACATTCTACTTCTTAAGATAAACTAAAGGGAAAAGCAAATTACGTTATTTTATTTTCTTAATTAATCAGTCTAATATTTCTTTCTAATAATTTTCCTCAAAGTAAGTCGATAAAACTCAAAAAGTGTTGCTAAACACATCCTTCATCGAAACAGGTCACTCTCTTTTACCCCTTTGGGCTATAAATTCGAATCTTTATATGAGAAATTTCCATATTCCCTGAAATGTAATATTTACAAAATTGACGTAATTAAATCAGTTCGACACGTTTATACTTTCAAAATATATCATTAGAAAATATCAAAATCATTTACTTACCTTTATACATTTCTTACTGCTTTTTATTCTATACTGTGATCTAAATACTAAGGTGGTTGCCACGCTCAAGTCAGAAAAATGGCTTTGTTTAAGCAAAAGACATATAAATGCCAACAATAAAATAATGGCTTATTTTAAAAGATCACAAAAGTCTAGATTGGCAATAAATAACAGAATTATTTCCAATTGTTATTCCTTGGGGGCATCACCCCGTCATCTTCTCGGACACTGAGAGAGAGAGAGAGAGAGAGAGAGAGAGTGAGAGGAGGGGTTAATCATTGGAGCCGTGTCCTGTGGGAGCTTTAGTAATTTTTGTCTCGAGTCCTAGATATGTTTAGAACACCTACTTTAAAAACTAGGTCTTGTGTCATGTTCAATTCGACTAATCGGGCAAATAAATACCATGCTAAAAGCGAATTCATTTGAAATTATTATTTAACTAATTTGAGTGGATACGCACATACAAACTTTTGAGCTTTATATATTAAATTTGTTAAGGATATTGAAAATTTATATGCACTCAAATACGTAATACTCGTAATAAAGAATTCTGCAGTTAAACAGAAGTAACATCATAATCTTCTTCCTTTATGCTTCCCTTCAGTGTGTAGGCGATCATAGCCCTCCCTATCTTCCCGTTCTTTGTAGCTCTTAATAAGTTTTGTTCTTTTGTTATTTCTCCCCAACCCTGTTCCACCATGCATTTTCTCAAGCCCATCAAGTATGTTACGTGCTGTTTTCCTCTGTCCTGTGAGTATCATATTTTCCAAGCCCTCCTTACGTACCCCATAAATTTCAAATGTCACTTCCTGATGTTAAGTATAAGTTCCTTTTTGATTCCATTCTCTCCAAAATCATAATACGTCTTTTTTTAAAAAATAATTGCTTCTTATAAAAATGATCTTGAACATATAGTCTTATGAACCGATTAAACTCGCTCATCATTTCATATTTCCATTTTACAGTCAAGCAGAATTTCCATCTATGACCGATATTCTGGTCGAAGATTCCTCGGAGCAAAATTGAGAAATAAAAAAAAAATCTAAAAGTGTTCTCATGTCATTCGATGCAAATGAGATGGGCGGGGGGGAACAATACTTATTGAATATATTTCGGGGAAATCTTCAATCTGCTTTGTCTAAAAGTATTGGGTCAGTTAATCAGATACCTCGAGCTATATTAAAACAAAAAGATGACATATCGATCGATGGAGATTAAGACATTTTTTTTAAAAGACCGAATATCTTAACAACCCGTTTCTTCTCTTATTCATATTCGATGTTCATTATTTATAAGATATGATTCGTTTCATCTGACAGTAAAATCTCCGTCATTTTTTCTATTTATAATGCAAACATTTTATGGCGCACTGAATATTTACATCGTTTTTTTTTTTTTTTTCAAAATAGGGCTCCATTCTGCCTTTAATTAATTCGATAGTCTGACGACAGATGACGTTAGTAAAAAATACATCATCATCAGCTTGCGGCCTCAGCCGAGATTGAACTCAGTAATACTTTGATTGGTGTAGTTCATAATCTTGTCAAATAGCCGAATTCTTGATGCTTCGCTACGGCTATCAAGGGTGCTTTTTATCGTGACACCATCACTAAATGGATTGCCAACCAAGGCTCACCCTCATCTAAGAGCAGGTTTTGAATTCAGAGTTTTCCTAGACCAGTTGCCATCCAAGGCTATAGAACCCAGTCTGTCCTACTATTTACCCATAGCTGGAGGGAGA